GTTAATTTTTATTACATTTATGGTTGGTATTACATTTATGGTTTTTATTACATTTATGGGTGATACAGCAGGCAAGTCATTCATTGTAAACAGTCGCATTTCTTTGGGTATTAACAGTATTACAATCAGACGTTGCTCTCCGTAGGACTGAGTTATAAACGAGGTGCGACTGATTTTTTTTTGCTAGTTTCCATAGAGAATGCAACCGGTCAGCTTGACAGTAAGAGAAAACCCGTTGCGTTAAATACTTTAAATAGACCCTTTGCACGATCCGGTCACATGGTACGGAATTAATTATGCTGGGCCGCAAGTTACACAGTGGGACTTCCAAAACAAAGGAACTAGTATCAGTCCAGCCCGACTTTCCTTTGTTTTGAAACTTGCTTTCCAAGGATCGTGCAAAGGGCCTATCGACTTAAAACCCGCCAAAATGACGTAATGTGGTTGAAAACAATTACTGAGCAATTCGGGGATTCCCCCATTTTCAATCAACCACAGTATGCGGGTATGCTAATTCGTCGCAAAAGATTTGCATATCGATCATGAAACACGAATCTCCTGGAGGGCAGTTTTGCTCGGCCATAAACTATGGCTCGACGAAAACTGCCTGAAAATGCCGCGAAAACATTAATTGCTGACGTTGCAGGATGTTTCTTTTGGCAAAACGAAAGTCAGTTGGTCACGGTAAGTCGCTATTTTTGTTCAAATTCATCATTTTATTGACAGATTTTTCGAGGGGCCTTTGAACAGTGACTATCACGAGTTAGTAATAAAGGCAAGCCCGTGCACGCCATCGCGTCAGTTTTAAAAATTCTGTGTTGTGATGTAAAGGTTTACAGACACGTGACTTTGCCAAATCGAGTGCTCTGCGTTAACGACAACAAGACTACCATTTCGGGCGGCCAGTTTGAACAGTTAATCGGAAAAGGGTTTGATAATTCAAATAGCTTTTATTCAAGCCCAGCATTTAGGTGTGGTTCCACAACAATGATCCCCAACTACAAAAGTTTTCACATGAAATGTGTCGTGCCAAGCGAAGGAAATGGTGAACTGTAAAGGCAAAGAATTCGGTCTGAACGAAAAATAGTGGAATTAATTTCGGAAATATAAAACAGGAAATTCTAACTTGTCATTTTTTTTACCGAAAGCTACGTCAGTCCACAAAGCTTGCATATATTTTCTTTCACCTCTTGAAATGACGTTTTTGTATATACGTAGGTTGTTTCTCGGAAACCACAGTGCTTTAGCCGTATTTATCTTCGTCACAAGTCTGCATTGTTCAGCTGTACAGTGGAAATTTGAACTGAACCACTGATTGGGATTTTCGTTACGAAAATCGTAGGTCGGGCCAACTTTGAAAGCGAGTAAGGTTTCATATTTTGCGACGCACGAATGCACGCTACACTGAACAATTTTTTTTTTCTACTTTTGACGAAAGCATTTCGAAAAGACATGTCAGTTTTAAATTTGACAGGAAAAAGGGTTCATATATATTTACACCGAAGGACGCACCAAAGGAAAGCAAAAAATTCCTGTTTCAATTCTAGAACCGCACTGCACGCGAGCTTCCATACCGGTAGTTGGCTGTGTTTCTGTTGACTTATCAGATTTCTCTTAGGCAATCGAAAGGCGGTGCGGTTTCTATAATCTCAGATGCTTTATTCCATGCGCGATACCGGTTTCTTTTTCCCTTTTGGTCGCCATTCCATTGCGGTTAATTTTCACTTTCCGACTGCACATGGTTAGCTAGTGATTTAAGTGTGGTTACTAACTGGTGACAAAGCAGATAACTTGCAGACTAATCACATTCTACAAAGTATTGGGAAAAACCCCTGTCAAATACTGAACCTAGTGTCACGAAGGGTTAACTTTGTGAAGGGTGTTTCTTGTTTATATCAAATTAAATGAATTGTTGGCGAATTCGGATAGATAAGGGAATTTCCGTTTGTTTCCTGAATTGGGATCAAAGAGAGAAGCTGTAAATATGGTTTGTGACTCGATTTTTGTTCTAGGTCTGAAGAGGAGTAACGAAATAAATATCAACTTAAGTTTATGTTTATTTAAAGGGGTCATTGGAAGAGAGAGATCTGTAGGTTAGCTGAGTCATGCGACAATATCGAAACAAAGCACGATCGTTAAAATGCCTTTCAAATTAAGAATATTATAAAGCAGAAATGCCGCCCAAGCATAAATATAGGCACGATACCTGTTTACCACTATGACATTATTATCTCAATATTTTTATACCTTCTTGTGCATTAAAGATTTGTTAATCTTTGTGAAATACGCCTATACTGTTCTTATGGGTTTCAGACAGAACCGCTGCTAGGTCAGAACCCTACGGTTCCGAAATCTGCAACTCAAAAAAGAAACAGCGATGTAAGTGCGTAAGCCTACACAAACAACTTCTGCGAAAGAATCGAAAACGAAAATCGAAATCGTCTTGCTGATGAAACGCATAGAGTACATAGAGGGATTTCCTTGAGTTGATTGACGTGGTCACATGTTACTGCATGCCATAGTGAGCAGAGAACACGCAAAACGCTGAAAACGTTTTAGGTACTAAAAAATGTTTCTTTTTTCTCCGAAACACAAACAAACTAAACAGAACAAAATCGTGTATTTACGTTATTGGTGAAGTCACATGCGAATGAAGAGCGCTGAGGGCATTGTCGGGCCCAGAAAGGTAAGTTTTGGATTCCTCGGTTGAAGGAGGTTGTTTACATTGAACTGAACAGGCCCTAACTTGACTAACTTGTGCGGCAATGAAATCGTCTAGTCACATGATCGTAGTGAACAGGCAATGCTTTTCTCCTTGCACTGCAATTATGATAGCCTCGTTTTCCTCGATGCGATTTCATTCTGATATACTGGCGGTGAATAGGTCTGAATACGCTTTTTAGTCGATTAAATATTCCACGCGGTGTGGATTATGTTCCCTCTTACTTTTGAAAATTGATACTGAACCAAGTCCTCTGTGAATGAGAGGTGGAAGACAAAGGAACACAAATACAGAACTTTATTGAACAACTTAGGCTAACTAAGTTTGAGCAAGAAAACAATCCCGCACACTCAGCTAGTGATATATTAAAGCTAGAAGTCGTTGTAATTTCCGGAAAAATCAATAGAATCTATGGAAAAATATTTGCTAAAAATTAAATAATCCATAACATATGATGTTTTGCGACTAAGAGCGTGAGTATAAACTCTGCGCATATCCAGAGCCTTTAAGACCAAGATTTATGGAACGCAGAAAGGGCATGCAAGCCACGTTAACTTTGTCGTCTTTCAAAGTCTTCAAACGTCGCTTGTTTTAAGGTGTCGACAAATAATAGATGTGTTTGTCCATGGTACTAACTGTTAACAAGAGACTATGATCTAAATCATCGTCTCTTGCTGTAAAGAACGTCGTCAATATCACCAAGTTAACCCGGGTAATACGGTCTCAATGCTTTTGATTCTAGTTGTGCCTAAGTTCATAGAACTATGATATTTAAAGAAATCAACTTTTACTAATGAGTGTCGTGAAAGGTAATTTCGTGATGTATGAATTACCTTATCTTTTTTCCCCGTAAAATGTGAAATGGCTGGTCGTTTTCTCCTAAACCGTGATTTCCCAAAAGAGGTTTCTGTGAAATAAGTACTAAAATAATGTCGTGACGCCGGCGTTATTTCAATTGACTGTCTCGTCTCAGCTTTCTACACCCGTTATCTGGCGTAATAAACATCGCGCAACGGGCGGTGGGACAGGCCAATCTGTGATCTTTGTGCATTAGTCATTACTGGAACGAGGTTTTCTTTTTGCTGTGAGCAGGAAAAAGAATGGCGAAAATATCGAACAACCCCCGTACGCGAGAAACTGAAATGTTCCTCCCATTTCATTTTTCTTCAATCGTGAAATGATTGCCGGTAGGTTCTTTTATTTTCCCTGAAACGTGATCGGTTTGAGTCTGAAACGAATCAGTGTGTACTTGACCAGGAACGTGTCAAAGCCCATGCAACCGAAGTGAAGTTATGCAATGAAGGCAAGCTCATCGACGTGTTCAAATAATTATATGCCCCTAAGGGCATTAGGCTATTGGATCGTGTAGACTCAAATTTCACATTTTCAAGTTAGCGGAGTTCTTTGGTGAACTCTGAGTCCAATGAAATAGAAATTGAGAGAGCCCATAGACTTGGTGGAAAACGAGACGACGGTAAACCTCAACCTAGTATTGCTAAATTCCTCCGGTGGTAAGATAAAAGACCATAAAGAGTACAATTTGAGGTCTGCGTATCTCCTGAAAGGTACAAAAATCGGAATCGCTGAACAGTTTCCAAAAGAGATTGCTGAGGCACGTAAGAAGCTGTGCCAGATTATGAAAAAGGCGGAAACTGATGGAAATACAATAAAACTTATTTAAGACAAACTTTTGATAAATGGCCAGCGTTACAGGGGGAACACGGACCAACGGAGAGGAGATGAGGGATGTCGCTGAGTCATTTAAATCGTCACTTAATTTAGATCTTCTTTATTCAATCAAAGTTAAATCTTAGTCGTATAAATATATAGTATTTGCTATTATAATCTAACTTCGCAATCCAAATTTTTTTGATTGCGAAATAACCCAAGTAGCATGCAACATCTGCAGTAAGTATGATCATCATAATAGGCATTGTTTACGTCTATTAAACAAATCTGTCTCTGGCACAGATAAGGACCTCGCTTGTTATCAATGCGTAGATGCTTGCTTGCCGTTCAATAATCTTAGTGATGACAGCTTTCTCGAAACATCCGGAAATGGAACAACTTCACCATAGCAGGATAGAAAATATCGTGTTCAGCCCATGTCAACAAGATCTACTAGAAGTGCATACGCATAGTGACAAAAATTTGTTAAAAGAAAATTTCCATGACAAAGGAACAATACCAAATTCCACGTTTCATTTCTACACAACACTTGAATTTAATAGTTCAGTTGCAAATAGGCAACTGACTGAGAATAAGTTATCATTTTTGCATTTATATATTAGAAGCATAGGGCCAGAAGAAAACAAGTTTGACGCATTATCACAGTCAAACCAAGTGAAGCGTACACCTCAAGATCACATTAATGAATTGATTATTTGAATACTGAACCCGCTAGTCATTTTAAGAATGCGATAATGAATTGACTATTTGAATATTGAACTCGCTAGTCATTACAAAAATCAATATTAAATTGATTTTTTTGAACATTAAACCCATTAGCCGTATTCTTGGAATGACTAGTGGGTTCAATTTTCCATTAATCAATTCATTATTGCATTCTTGAAGCGACTAGCGGGTTCAATATTCAAATAATCAATTCATTAATGTAATCTTGACGGGTACGCTTCACTTGGTTTGACTGTAAATTACTTACATTTGTTAATCCATAAATTCGCAATAATTGCACTTACTGAAACTTGGTTAAATAATTTGGGTGGTGACAATTTTAAAATCCCAAACCTAACCAAAGTTAACAGGCAAAATACAGTTGGAGGGGGAATTTGGATTTTTACTCGGGATAATATTAAAATCAAATTATGAAATGTTTAGTCAATGAAGAGAGCAATAATACGGAATTTCTGTTTATTGAAATATTAAATGAAATATGTAAAAGTATTATCACTGGTATAATACATAGACCACCAAGTAGCAAATTTAATAATTTTAAGAAAATTAAACAAATCGGATAAGCCTTGCTATATTATGGGCGACTTTGACGTTGATCTTTTAAAATACGAATGCTGTAATTTCTCAGATAACTACTAAATAAATAATTTTCAATCAGTTGTCATCCTCAGGCTACGTGCCACTTATTACAAAACCTACCAGGATAACTAAATCAACTGCAACATTAATGGAGAACATCTTCACAAACATTGCTAATAAAACAGACCATCAAACACTCTGAATCATTAAAAATCTTTAAAATCATTAAAATCTTTAAAACGGAAATAAAGCAATTTATTTTGCATAAGTGATACTGACATAGAACGTCTTCCTTTTAATCGACTACTTTCTGATTGTAGTTAGAATTCCAAAAAAAACAAGCTTAACTTTATCAGGTAATTACATTATTTACAACGGGTTGCAAATTTTATAAAATCCCAATCTCTGATACCATCTGACTGAGTTTAGATAGAGTAACTTTAAAAGGGAGACTGCTTTGTAACAGCCTTAGTCTTCCTCCCAAATGCAAATTGTAACAGTCAAATGTACATGTACATGCTGTATTGATTATTTTATTATGGGAAATAAAGTCATTCATTCATTCATTCATTCATTCATTCATCATTCATTCAAGTTTAATCCGGGAGTTAGATACACCTGGGAATACATCGCGTTAGGGAATCCTGTCTTCACTCATAAGAACGAATTTCTATCTGGTTATAATCAGTATGACATGGTGATTAACTTTTCCGGGTAGCTTTAGCCTGCGAGCGCGAGCAGGCTCACGTTGGAGCACAAGCGCGAGCGGAGAAACCATCTTGGTGCCTCTTCACCAAAGTCCACCCCACCGGATCGCTTCGCTCTTGGCCGCTCGCGCGTGTGACTCAAAGGTGAGCCTGTTCGCAGGCTAGGGTAGCTTTTGAGCAGGCAAAACTCACACGCTGCAAGCACATTCAAAGCGGTTTTTATATGGGGGAGGGGGACAAAAACTTTAGGGAGCAGGAGGTATATTTACCTATTGTATTTCAACAATAGGTTCATCATGTGACTGCATATGTAAAGTCCCAGAAGATCAGATTTGCTTGAAGGTTCTCGAAGTTGGAATTTATTTGCAGTAAACCTGTTTTAACCGGGATATTCAAGAAATTTCAGGTTAGCAATGTAATAATTTTAAATAGTACATAATGCACTATCGGTAAATGGTAAAAGAGCCACAGCTTCTTTACAATTTAGTAAAAGCGAATCTGCAAGTCCGGCAATAGAAGTATTAACTTCCGGCGCTATTTCCGCCCATCTCGTGAGACTTCTCAACTTTATTGGTGCTCGGCCGACTTGACGGAGTTGGTTTATTCCCCAAAGATATATCACTTGACGACGCGATATTCTTTCTGTACGAGTTAACACGCAGTCTATGCAGTCTGGGGCATTTGCGCAAGACCAACTGAACTGACAGCTCTAAATAATAAAAGTACGAGTGCAATACAAGATGATATACTTCGCCGCCATTGCGGAAGGTGAAAACGCTAATGCCGTGAGATTTGGAGAGTATTAAACCGAAATGTGTGGACAATCAGCGAAAAAAAAAAAAAAAAAAAAAA